CGCCTATGCCGGCTTCTTCACGGCGAGTGTAACCCATCATCACCACCCCCTTAAAAAAAAATGCCTGTGCCCCTTCTCGTCTACCAACACAACGCATCGTGAGTATTGCACAGCCAAGAATCCTCTTCCCGCTTGCTAAGCGGACCAGAACTGCATCGATGTAGCTGCCGCAACCTGACTGAGACGACAGTCTCTCTCATCGTTAGTGGAATTGGTTCGTTGGAAGAAACTTTTGCGCTGGGATTGAAAATTTTTATAATATTGGTTTTGGTTCTTAAAACAGTTACGAACTGTTGAGGTTTTTATGACATACATTTCTTGAACATTTTATGGTTGAACGTAGGTATTGACACAGAATAGAGAAAACAATATATCATCGTCTTTTTTAACAATTGCTGATCGTCATTTGGAAATAGGGAAGGAGTTACAAGCAAAGAATTAATAAAAAGTAACGGCTAGAAAAGCGAAAGAAACTAAAAAAAGAAAAGTGATATTAAATTTACTCAAGATGAACAAATCTTGTATTGAAATTGAAAAAATCATACAAAGAAGTCGTTTTACTCTCCACTCTGTCTTAAAACGGTTTAAAAATGATGCAAATATTAAAAATCATACTAGTAGTGGTCGTCTATCTAACGAAAATTCAGGAGAAAAGAAAAATTAAGCATATAGTGAAAAATGATATAAAAATCAATTCGTCTGAAATTGCATATGATAAAAGATAAATGTCACAAAGAAATAAGTGCTAAAATTGTAGGTAAAACTTTGAATGATATTGGTCATTCTGCATGTATTGCGTAAAGTAATTTATTTCAACAAAAAAAAAGGAAGGATATTCGTAAAAGAATTTATTCCGAAAGATTTAGTATTATCAACAATATTATGGATCAGTATATGTATGTATGTAAATATCTTTTAAAAACTCCTGAAAATTAAATAATTAATAATAGATAAACAAATACTTATTCTTTATTATTCAAGTAGATAAGTAACAACTTTTTATAAAGATAAATTAAATTTGTCGATTTACAAAAAAATTTGTAATTAATGTATAGAATTATAATTCTCCATGAATTGTTTATAAATTTGTATAAAGGAATTATAAACTTCGTAAACATTAGAAAACAGTTGTATAGGTAGAAGATAATTTATTTATAAAAAGTTGTTAATAATTATTTACAAGTTATTTACCTTATAAAGAGTTTCAAAACTATTTTATCCGAATAACTATTTAGTTGAAGAGTTATTGGAGACTATTGAATAACATGTAAAGATGACTTTTATATTAGTAGTAAAATGGTTATGTTGATGTGAATCCGAAAAAAGTACTTTATTTAAAACATTGTTGAATAAAGTACAACCTGATTAAAAAATAACAATTGTAATGAATAACTTTCCAAGTACAAGAAGTTTCCAACACCATGAATGTCCCCAAGACTTGGATTTACAATAAAAATAAATAAATGAAAAATTGTATTTTGAATACTTACTTCTTATATTTATATTTTAAAAGTAACATTATTTCACGTATATTAATTCAAATGAATCTTATATCTAGATTTGTTACTTTTAATAAAATAGTACATAATTTATACTTAAAAAACAAAATTTTTTCTCCATATTGACGTCGTTTGGGACTAGCATGACAGTGTTAAAGTAACAAATAACTAAGCGTTTGTTTTCAAGAAATTTAACCCCCAGCCCCGACACAAGAGCGACAGACAATGTGATAGACAGAAAGAGCATATCTTCCCGGTCTCTTCGGAAGGGTCAAACACGAGGGTCTCAAGCTTTCAAGATCCTCGACCGTTCGTCACAGATTTTCGGTTCTTTCGGTCAGGGTCACGGTTAAAATGTCTCAGATTTTCTTTCAACTCACCATTTCTTTCATCTTACACTACAGTCACAGATTCCTGACTGAAATGTATCGGTCAGGAATTTCTTTGAAGAGTTACTTCCCAGATCTTCGCTCAGTTTCGATCAGAGGTTATTGAGAGACATATAAATTGAAATCAATATTACATAAAAGCTACTTTCCCAATAACAGTTATAACATTAATTTTGTCTTTAAAATTGTTTCAATAAGAACCATTACATAACAGTTTGAAACAATTATTTTCCGAACCTTTCAAACTTTACTTTTGCGACTTCGCTCCTCGTGTGAACAAAAAAACGCTGAAGACCATTTTGAAAATAGGATTTATATTTTGTCGTAAACTCGAATCTGATCATCTAAAATTGGAATGGGAAACCTACAGACTCTTGAGGCGGTCGTTATGACTTTTCTGTATACTGTGTTTATTGTAGTCGAGAACAATTCTTGTGGACGAGTGCTAGAACAATTTTATTAAAATCCACGTGGTTATACGTTTCACAATTCAAAATAATACCTTCTAATTTTTTATTTCGTCCAGACGTAAGAGAACTGTCCACTTCGTGTTTTCTATTTTACTTTATTTGTTTGTTATTCTTTCGTCAAACGCACTCTCAATAAAACGGAAAACTCCAATACTAATGTAACTCCAGTGTCGGCTGATATATTTGTTGATGTAACCCTTTTGTCTAACGGATATATCCACTGGTAGTATCAAAACGATTACGAGAATGTTAACAAATTTTGTTAATTATTCCGAACACCAGACCTTTCCTTTTCTTGAAAAAAAAACTATGAAGAACAATTCAAGAATACTTGTCTTCGATTGGAAAACACGTTTCGAGAGCCCAAAACCATTGTTCAATCGCGACACATCGATTCTTCTGGTCACGAATAAGCGATGCGTTTCTTTTGGGAGAATCGGAGGCGTGTAAAAAGCGATCTTTCGGGGAGATCTTCAAGAGACCGAAAATACCAACAGACGGCTTGTCGAGTTCGTGATTCCTCGTCGGGAGATAGGACAGGGAAGTAATAGATAGGTTTGTAATCCATCGAGAGCTCGAGGCGTTTGGGAATGAGATATTTTGGAAGGGGCTGGCGATATCGGCAGTCAGCGAATGAAATGGCGCGTCTCTCGATCCTCGACGTGCCCCGGGGGGGGCCTGCTGCCGAATCGAGCCGCAATCCACCTTCTGCCACCCCTCTCGTTGGCTCGCCATCCCCGTGGCTGAAGTTGTCTTCGCGAAGACGACTCTCCTCTGTCACACCGAATATCTGCCGTTTCAATGCGAGATCTACTATATTCCAAAATTCTCTTCCTTTCGTTTTTCTCTCTTAAATAATAACGAGTGCCTCCTTCGCCCCCTTATAATTTATCAAAAAACTCTGTATCGAGCCTGAATTACGAAAATTACACTCCTGGGAATGGTAATACAACGAATATCTAGTTGAAGAGTCAAATTTTCGTTCTGGATGTAAAAGTTATTGAATAGCAATACGTGTAAGTAACACTTACACTAATCGTGATGAAAACCTAAAGACAGTTTCGTTTGAAAATTATTTAAATGCATGACTTCAACTGTTGTTTGCTTAACAAACCACACAGATTCAAGATTTTAAATTTATAAGACTGGCTTAGGTTATAAATCAGCCTTATCCGTTGAACTTAAATAAAGTAATAAATATAGATGGTATTTTATTGATATTAAATAAAGTGCTTTCCATTAACACGTTGATTGCCGTGTGACCTACCGGCAAGTCATGCCTTTTTTAAAGAGAATTACGTGTTACTGTATCCATATATCAATCAAATAGACACAAATTGAGAAATTTAAATATATGCAGTGAGGTATCCTATAACGAATGAATGCTTCAGCGAAGAGTTTTTCTCATTAAATCAAAACGCTATAACAAACGTGGAGAAATACAATCGTAAGTGTATTTATTCAAGCAGTGTTTCGAGACTATTACTTCTTTCAATGATGATAGTCAAGGATTTTTGGAAAAAATCATTACAATATAACAGATACTATTTCATTAATTGTTGCTGCTTGGAAGGATGTGTCTGTTTGGTGTTTGAAATCGACTTAGAAGTCATTGTGTCCTGAAGCTGTAGCTTCAAACAATTTTGAAGGTTTCTAAGAGTTAGATGAACAGCATGTTATATAGGAAATTATATGTTTGGACAATTCTATAGGCTTGGAAATCAATGACGACCATGTGGAAGAATTGATAGAACATCACAGAGTGGAACTGGCAATTGAAGAACTAGATGAGCTGTGTAGTGAAGAGGTAGATTCACTAAAGAGACAAGAAGTTTTTTACAAGGTCGAAGTCGAGAACCAGCAGAAAGGTCACAACATTCCAAATAAGCATCTTAAAGAGTTATTTTCTTGCTGGGGTAGACTGTCCGATTTTATGCAAAAATATCATTCAGATATTGCCGTAGTTGAAATGGGTCTCAACCATTTTAATGATATCCTGATGGCCTATTTCTGGAAATTTTAAAAGTCCAAGCTGAAACAGACATCTTCGAACGTAGTTTTCACACGGCTTTCAGCAGACGCATCTACCACAGGACAATTCTCTAAGAGGAGTAGAATGAATGACTCCTCTTTCTCCTCTTACTTATAACTTTTTTATAAATCTGTACATGTGTTTATAGTATGTATATTTGCATGTTCTCATATATTTTTATTTCATATTAAATTTATTCCATTTTGTGTGAAATCATTATATTTGATAATAATTGTGCTGTATATTTGAAAATATATATCAATATCAATCAATGTATTCTATAACGAATGGACGCTATGACGAACAAGGTTCTGGAACGAATTAACTCGTTATAGAATACCCCACTGTGTACATACTTATTAAAAACACTTATTAAAAAATATTCTAAATCAAATGAGAAATGTTAAGATTATCAACAATTTTCCAAGTTACATTTCATCAAAATGTTCCGGCACTCAACGTGTTAAAATGCGCAGAATTGATATTACAATTTGCAAGATATACTAAGTCCGCCAAATTGTTTCAACGGTAAACATTTCAGGGGATGCAACAAAACCGAACTTTCATTACTAGTCGGAATTTACCGGTGGAACGCAGCCGACCTCCGATTTTAATGTCCGTAAAAATGACAACAATGACAGTCGTTCAGCTCCGCGTTCCGTCGTCGTTGCGCCCTCGGCAAGAATTCGACTGAATGGAATCCTCCATTCTCTTCATCGTGATAACCGTGCATTCTGCAATCTCGATAACTGTCCATGTTCATGGAAGTTGAAGATTCACCTTTTTCCATTCGATCGTAAATCGAGTCTATTAGTCGTGACAGACTTTTATCGACATTTATTGTTCTATCAATGATTGTCATTGTGGGTTGAATGATTCTTCGTGTTTTCGATATATCTTTCTCAAAAGCTGTTGGTGTATTTATTTGAGCCTTTCCACTTTCTATATTTATAGTATGTAAAAAGTTAATAAAATTATCACGGATAAAGTTCGTAGTATAAAACGCATTAACGTCTGATGTAGTCGCAACAAGTTATTTATTATTGTATGATATCGAGCCTCTTTGCGATTATCTTCGAAACAGATAAATCAAGATGATTTGCATCAATGACAAATAAAAGGTGTTTCGTGCAACTGGGCGGAGCAACACTTTTAAAACTATTAGAGATAAGAAAAAGTGTCACGGAAAAAAATTAAATGACATTATATGTTCTAGATTTCGTTCGTTTTTAATGGAAACATATAATTTTTTTTACATAAATCGATTCCTTGTGTCGTTCTGCGTATACAAGTGTTATGATAATACGATTGTAAATTAAACAATTATAAACAGTAATACGTACCATTAAGCGTTTTCTTATCTCTATGACCTTATTTATGTTAAATGTAATAACATATGTACTATTTAAAAAAATCGAGATATCCAGTAAACTGTATGATTTTCATGTTATACTTTAATGCCATTTACGTTGCTCTATAACAAAAACATCCTAAATTCAATGGTTACTTTTTAGTCGTAGATTTATTTTGGTATAGATTTATTTATTATGATATAATCGAGCCAGGAAACTAGGATTTCTGGGACGATGATCGGAGATCAATATCTCGGTTTCTTTGTGATCATCGTGGATCCCTCGTCAACATAAAACCGTCCGTCCACGTTCTCATCAGGTTGCAGCAGACTGAAACATTAGCAATTCCAATATGGCCGCGGGCACGCTTCCGGGAAACAATGTCGAAGATTACCGACCGTGCGGGAACGTCAGCCGAGTTGGAGCAGCCGGTGAGGGCGATCACATTGTTCGACACGATAATATTTGTCACCGAAAATAATGCCCAAAAACCAGGAAGGAATAGAGAGCCGGGCGAATCCATTGAAACGCAGACAATGCAAGAGATTCATCTGGCTGCCCGCTCGTTCCGTCCTCGAATCCTCTTCTGCCGGCCGTCCAACCTGTCACGTGACACGCGCCAAATTAAAAACTCGGTTTCGCTGCTCCTTTTGCTCGGCTGACATCGGATATCGAGGTGGTTTATCGAAGAAGTAGAGAAGCCACGACAAAGTATTCTATTTTTCCTTCGCGCATCGATTCCTTTTGTATTTCACCAAAGGAAGATTTTTACGAATTATTTTTTACAGAAATTGAAATATCCTTGCATTAAATGCGAGTTAATTAATACGCGAAATCACGAAATTAAATCTCATGATAAACAAAGAATAATACGCGATAAATGTGAAAATAAATTTTAAGTCAATTTTTCACTTTTGAAAGTTGCGCCAGTGTAAATTACACATTTACTAAAATTGTCAGGCACTTAGGAGCGAAAAAGCTCACACATTACTGTTTTTACTTTATTTGCGGTAGAGCGAAGTCCCGGAATATAATGCAACAATACGTTTTCCCAATAAACGTTGTTTTCGTTTAAATTGAAAAGGCAATACTTCAAGGTTGCTCGAGCGTGCTAGATTTTAAAGCCCATACCCGTAATCACGCAATCGCTGCAATCAGGCTTGAAAAAAACTGCCGAGAGTGGGATTTTTAAAAAAATGTGTTGAAAAGTCAGAGAAACGCGCGTTAAAATAACGCACGAATGCAGATAAATCGGGGAGGGAAATTCAGGGTATGGGTGGTTCACTTTATAAAACATTCGCGTCACGAGCCGCGAAGAAACGTATGCGTCGAGGCAGACGAATAAAAAAGAGCCACCGCGATACAGAGTACGCGTGTTTTTTTATATCTGACAATACATATTGCTTGCACATCCGTGAAGTTCAGCCGTCACGCAGTACTTAGCGAAATGATCAGCGGGAACAGAAGGCAATATCGGAATTATTGTGATTCGCGGAAGTCAAGCCGCGGGCAAGCAATCTATACCGAGATGCAGACATTACTCGTGCCTCGGATTTGAATATTGCGGCAGTAATATTGCTTCGGGCTCTAATAGTTACTATGAATGGCACGTGCATGTTCGTGTAACGTACAGTAATAGTCAAAAGAAACTTACAAATTCGTATCTACGCGTACATAAAATGTGCAAAGCACTTTTTACCAAATTAAAAGTGCATATATTACGGAGATGTACAAGTTTTCAAAAGGAATGTGTCCCCATTACTGGGCGCATAAGAATATTGATTGCTTAAAATTAATAACTTTTCACTAATATACAGGGTGTTCCACATTTTTCCGTACACACTTCAGCAGTGCGTTCTACAAGTAAAAATAAAACTAAAATGTAATATAACAAAAAATCCTTAGATGCTTTGTTAAGAATTTATAACAAAAATATGAAATGTAAAGGATATGATAACCGCGTTCCTCTCAGTTTAATACAGGACAAGACGAGATACGTATGTAGTGTCGATGTTAAGTAACATAAACATGTAAATTAGGATATGTTTACTGCTTTTGTAATGTTGAGTCTTTATGACGGTAAGTCGTACACTGTACTACGAACGCAATTTTAGTTTCGTTGCGTCTTGCGAACGAATTAAAGTGTTCAAAATGCCAAAAGTATTCTCAAATCGCGAGTATACAGATACTCATTCCGTATGCGGCTTATGTGCCGGAAATTCGTGAGCTGCCGTTAGAAAGTATCGTGAAATGTTTCCTAATAGAAGAGTACCACATCATACAGTGTTCATTAGACTTCAGCAGTAGTTATATGAAACGGGCTCGTTTCTTCCTGTGTCTAAGAGAAATGTGGAACGCCCTGTATAATGATATCTAAGTAAAGTGTGTAATCTTGTATTCATTGATGTCTTTTATAACTAAATTAATTCTGATATGACACCTTCCGTGCTCGCCAACAGAGGGGCACGCTCAATTTTTACTATTTCACAAGTACTCGACCTACCTCTGATTTCAATAAATAAACTTATTGATCGATCATTAATTATTCCAGTGCCTAAGACAGGGTCTGCTAGAGTCTCCTTGCCGATGGGTACCATTAGCAGGCCCAGGACAAAACGTTCCCCTTACCTTTCGTTTTCTTTTGTCCTGTTATCCCGTTTTCTTCATAACAGCTCGTCACAGTTCTGAAGTGTTATTTGACTATATATAGGAAAATTATAGTAAAAATTCTATTCGATTTCTCGTGTCTCTTTTATTGACATACTTGCACCATTTGTCGATAACCTCATTTATTGATCAACAATATTCCCCATTGTATATGAAGAATTTGTATTTAGTGATATAATAAGCACTTATTATTGTTCACATTATATTATGTAAAATTGTACATTTTTACGTTTTTAAGTTATGTATTTCATTATTAAGCTACTTCTTCTATCATATTGATTTTTATTTCTTCTTTTTTTTAATCTTCTCTTTTCGTCTTCATCATTATTACGTTCTACAAACAATATATTCAGTTCTTCTCAAAAAATTAACGATAACTAAATTAAATAATAAATATTAATATAGAGAAGAAAGTAGGATTATAAGATAGGGTAGAAATATAAGACATTAAAGTTTTGAGTCATATGCAGTACTGATATGCAATGAATGAAAACGAAGTATGAAGATCATAGTAACATCATATAGCAGCAGCCACCGTAATATACCACTATTCCATTGTTTAACAGAGTCTTATTGTTTTTGATGCAACAGAAAGTTTGTACGCGCCGATGTTCAAGTGCAGTTTTCTGTTATTTATTTTGTGATTTTAAAAAGAAACAAGAAGGTATGTTATTCCATAAAAATCGCGGTTTCATAATATCAATAAAGTTTTAAAGTTATTGTGCATTTAATTATAATATAATGAGAATAGTAGAATCGGAAGGTGGTAACAATGTGAGATATTTGATATTAGTGAACCTGTACAGCTTCAATGAGGATCAATTGGTGCAGTCTGCATACTTTGCAACACTAAGTTTTTTGAAGACACTATGCGTCCACTTGGCCATGTCTCGTTATAGCGGATCTCGCATAGTGTTTAGCGGTAAAGATAGTAAATTGATAGGTACAATAAGCAATTCCGTAACACTGGAAGTGTTTATTAACATGAACTTCAATCGAGACAATGATCTACAGCGAGATCCATTATAACAAAACATGATCAAATGCACGCGTATCCGGCGAAAATTCAAAGCTGATTCTCTTGAAAACAAAGCCTCATATAAAAAATTTTCATTCCATATTTTAGACTTATTTTTTCATGTATCATAAATGGTTCAATTTGTACAAGTTCTTGAAAATCTGAATCTAATCTTTTAAATCTTCCATTCCTAGCTCGTCCTATTCGATCGTTGTTTAAATACAAAAATTCAATTATGGAAGGTGTTTTGATTAGCAAATCAGAGCTGGTCTATCTCGTATGGGTCAGTTCTCTCTAAACTATAAATCCTATCCACTGTGGGTGCGTACGGGGGTAGTCAGCCACGACGTCAAGGGTGCAGATATCAGGACCCAAAATACCCCTTAAAAACTAATTAACGTGTGCGTCGTGTAAATGGCTTTAGCATACGTCAGTTTCCTATCGTCGAGTGAGGCAATAAGATGGTAAAAACTACAAATTTCTTAAATTTAAATAAATCCGGAAAATTCTGTGCTATTAAATAATTTGGAGTGTCTTAAACCCTCGTACGATTAATATTTGGAAGGAATAAAGGATGAGTCCTAAGCTGTTCGACAATAACAATGTTTGGAAGTCCAAATAGTAGCAATAATAGAATAATTGAATTTTCATTAACGAGAAGGGGCGCTCGTAACGTATTAGCACTGAGAATGGTTGTGCATCGAGCAGCAAATTCGCCGCTAAGCATACATACGTCTACAACCCCGCTGTAAATTTCATAGCAGCGGATCCATGAAAAAATCGCTGACACCACCTGGGAGTCGTTCCGTTATCGTCGCATATTTGGACTTCCCTGCGTCCCCTTCCACCTGCTGTTAATGCCGCAGGTATCCTTCGGTAAACAACGAAGCAGCAGGTTGTACAGA